AGGTAAGCTGGTATTGTCTTCAGCGTCATCTGAGATCGGTGTTATGTGAAAAAGGCTTTGCATTCTGGTTAAGGATTCTTGATCTCTTTTCAGCGTTAGTGCGGACGGTGGTTTGGATGTACAGACCTGTTATCTGCTACGAAAGGTTGTGGGAGCGTGCCTACGGGAAGGTTGTATTGGTGTGTCGTGTAGCCACTTGATTGATTGAAGAATTAAATCAAGTATGAAGATTGTAGTGCTGTCGTTAAATTGAAAATTGATGCCTGGAGGGCACACGGTTTATTGGGTTGTGGACTGTGGAGGATTACTTCGGTTATGATGGTTGTTCTTGTGTGTTATGGAAAAAAGGGGGTTATTATGGACCCAGGAAAGATTTTGGACCTAGTTCGGTACAATCAGAATCGGCCGGAGCTCGGTGGATGGGTTTAAGTATGAAATGGGCTCTATCTCAGACTGGATGTGTTCATTTCGGCATAGCGCTCCTTATGGAGGAGTATTCAGCCGTGGGATGTTATTTCAGCATCGGCTATTTCACGTAATATTACATTGTGTCGTGTGAGTTGTGAAATGGCTTGGTAAATTTCTTATGTGTTGAGGTTTCGCGTTGAGATGATGTTATATGAGCTGAATGGCTCTTGAGATTCGGATCGTATATCGCACCTCAGTTGTGCTTGAGTTTGTAGCTTATAGCGCTATATGTCTCCCCAGGGATGGTACCATGCTCTTAGCGTGCTTGTGGCCGACATTCGATATTTTGTTGTAATGAGCAATCTAGCTCGGTGTATCTCCTTATGTGAATTTTATGCGCGGATCGGGTGGCGCCGCCATGGGTATGTTGTTTGGATCGGGTTGCGCGCCGCAATAGTGTGAGGTTGAGTACAGCTCCTTATATAGGTTTTTATGTGTTTTGCCTCCTATTTTTCTGAGGAAAACTCATATTAGTTGTGTGCCCGCGTCGCATGTATGATTCGCGAGCGGGGTGTCTGTTTATCTATGTTGATCGCATCGCATGTATGATTCGCGAGCGAGGTAATTGGATTTCCTTTTCAGAGTTCGTTTTCCTTTTGTATCATGTTCGAATTGATAGCCTATAGGCACATTGTGGCATCATATGAGACTTTTGATCATGCCCAAGGTGGCTTTTTTCCTGAGTAGGTCGTATTGGGTGAGACGAGATCATTGGATTTAGGATCAGTGCAATCTGATTATATGAAGTATATTAAGGAACAAAGACCATTATTTGGTTCGGAAAAAGGTGATGGTTCTTGACAGGAGCATATACCCAATGAATTGTTGATTCGGCAGTTGGTTATGAATTTTTACACATCTTCTGTCGTGGCGGTATTGTAAGAGTTAGAGCAAGACTTATATATATATCATGAGGTGCATTCGGAGCATCAGATTTGTGGAATTCGACTAATTTGTTCAGGGAATGTTATTGTGGTCCTATGAGTAAGTGGTACAAGGTGTGAATTCAGCAAAGGTATGAAGTCATGTTTGGGCACAGCGTGTAGTGATTGATATGGTGATCGTGTGTTGGAAACAGTCCTGGTAGAGAATCCAGGACGTTGGAATTGGGCTCTAAGCTTATTTCCTTGAATGAAAGCGAATATCTTTAGATTTGCTCGAGCTAATGTGCTTGATGGAGTTGCGTTAGCACAGGTAGGTGCTCGAGGTGTTAAACAGCGATTTCAGACAACTCCAGCGCAGTTCTTAGCACGTTCGAGGGCGAACATAGGTTTATGTGGGAGAGAATGTAACGACCCGACCGGTCGTTTTGAGCTCTAGCGCGTCGTTCAGCAGTTTGAGGCCATGAGCAGCTTCATTTCAGGTATTATGACTTGTGCGCACAGTTGGAGTTGAATTTCGGGAAATTCGGAGTCGATTTGGAGAGAGAATTCTCATTTCGGAAGCTTAAAGTTGAAAGAATGGACTAAGGTTGGATTTTTGAGTAAACGACCTCGGAATCGGGATTCGAAGGTTCCAACAGGTTAGTATGATGATTTCAAACTTAGGCGTATGTCCGGACTGGGTTTTGGAAGACCCGAGAACGTTTCAGCGCCTATTATGGAAGTTAGCATTTTGGAAGAATCTCATAAGATTGGGTTGAAGTGCATTTCAGTGTTATCAATGTCCGTTTGGGATTTCGAGTCCGGGAATAGCTCCGTGTGGTGATTCTGGTATTGGGAGCGCGATCGGAAGTGAATTCGGAGGTACGTAGGTCATTTTGGAGTCATTTGGCTAAAGATAGAAATTTGAAGGTTTTTGAGGAGTTTGACCGGAAGTGGACTTTTTGATATCGGGGTCGGATTCCGATTCAGAAAGTTGGAATAGGTCCGTAATGTCGAATATGACTTGTGTGCAAAATTTGAGGTCAATCGGACGTGATTTGATAGGTTTCGGCATCGAATGAAGAAGTTTGAAATTCTAAAGTTCATTAAGCTTGGATTGGAGGTCGATTCATGATTTTAGCGTTGTTGGATATGATTTGAGGCCTCGAGCAAGTCCGTAATGTGTTTTGGGACTGGTTGGTATGATTGGTCGGGGTCCCAGGGGCCTCGGGTGGATTCCGGGTGATTAATGGATCGAAAATGGATTTTTGGAAAGGGCTGAAGTTGCTGGTTGCTGGTGTAAGCGCACCTGTGAGACTAGGGCCGCAGGTGTGGAGCCGCAGAAGCGGCCTTCGTACCGCAGAAGAGGAAATGGAAGGCTAGGCTGGGATCGCAGATGCGGTCATTTTGCCGCAGATGGGGGAATGCATCTGCGGAAGAGAGGACGCAGAAGTGGAGTGGGCTGGGAGCCCTGGACCGCAGAAGCGGCAATTGGTCCGCAGCTGCAGGACCGCAGAAGTGGTCAAGAGACTGCAGATGCGAAAGGACTAGAGGCAGTGAGCTCTCTTTAAAAATCGAGATTTGGTTCATTTCCACCCATTTTCACTTCAGGTTGGACGATTTTGGAGCTTTTGGAAGAGAGATTTTCTTCATCTATGTCAAGGTATGTTGTTCCCACTCATTAGACGTTAAATACATGGTTTTGTTTCGGATTTGAGCATGAAAATTCGTAGAAACTTGGGGTTGAGGAAAAACCTAGAAAATGGATATTTTGGATTTTGACAACGATTTTGGGTATGAAATTGAGAGTAAATTATATATTTGAGTTCGTGAGGCTATGGGTAACCTTAATCTTCGAAAAATTTCGGAATCCGGGCACGTGTGCCCGAGGGCAATTTCGTCAACTTTTCGATCGGGGTTAGGAATTATTGTAAATTGGATTGTAATGAGTAATTGAACATATATTAATGGATTTGCATAATTATTGGCTAGTTTTGGAGCATTGTGCATCGATTCGAGTCTTTGGAAGGGCGTGGAATGCCGGTTGTGGATCTTCGTAGCGAGGTGAGTCTCCTTTCTAATCTTGTGAGAGGGAATTGTCCCCATAGGTGAAGTAATTGGTTATGTGCTCCTATTTGTGGGGGCTACGTACGCACGAGGTGACGAGAGTCCGTGCGTAGCTACTAATATGTGTAAGTCCGGGTAGTCTAGGACCCAAAAGCATGCTATACTTGGAATATCTGTAATCTTATTGACAGTTGAATGGCTTAAATCCTATCGAATTGGTAAATGAATTTCTAAAAGGATTAAACTTCATTTTCTTAAATCGTTAAAAGAGAATTGGCTTTCATTTGGATAAATGTTCCTCGATAAATTCTTAATTGGTTGGTCGAGCATGTATTTCTATATGTACCTGCATGTACGATTTGCGAGCAGGGTGATTGTTTATTTAAATTTGATCGCGTCGCATGTATGATTCGCGAGCGGGGTAATAGATGCATCTACGGTTCGCGTCGTTCGACCCTCGGCAGTGCTCATTTTACATTTATGTTGGATCGGGCCGTACGACCTCGGCAGGATATGCGCATCTTGAGATTTATAAATGTTGATATTTGCCTTTCCTGGCCGGAGATAAATTGATAAAGATAATGAAAAGTAAATCTTTGGAAATCCATTATTATTTGGGAAGCTGTTTACCTACTATCTGGCTTTATGAATTATAATTATTTATTTTTATAAAATACATGATCTCCTCACATTTTTACTATATTATCATTGGACCACTAGTAAGTGTCGAAGTCGATCTCTCGTCTCTACTTCTTCGAGATTAGACATGATACTCGCTGGGTACACGTTATTTTCATACTCATCTACACTTGCTGTGCATTTTTGTTACACATGCACATGCATCTCTAGTGGCCTAGTGGGCATGGTTGATACGGAGACTTAGGTGAGCTGCACTTCTCGAGACGACCCGCAGCCAGCAGAGTCTCTTTCAGATTACTGTATTTACTTTCTGTCCAATATTATATTTCGGACGGTTGTTGTATTACATTATTTCTTAGAAATTGCTCATGCACTTGTGACACCGGGTTCTGGAATGATTATGGGGTATTCTGTATTTACTTCTAAATATATTTTTATTTATTTTCGTAAAAGATTATCTTTTACTATCTGAATTGAAGGAAGATATCAATTCTCAAAATTATTATGATAAGAATTAAATTAAGCATTTATGGTTGGTTTGCTTGACAGCGGTGTCCAGCGCCATCACGGCCCTTAGTGAATTTTGGGTCGTGACAGTTAAAAACTAAATTAAGTTAGATATCTTTTATAACATACTTTATGTTCCTAAATATTATCAGTTACTAATAATTCAAATAATTGAGTTAATTTTAAAATATTAATTAATAAAAAATAATTAGGTAACAAATTTTAAAATATAAAATCTAATTTCAAAGGAAAAAATACAGGGGCAAGTTTCTCCGAATATCTCTCTTTTACATGACAATAAAGTGGTTCTAATAATGCAGACGAGACTTGAGTAAATTAATCATCTTTTTTTTTTGGTAACTAACTTCTTTTTATTAATCACCAAAAAGTAATTACATAACAGAGCTAAGCTAACACAGCTTGCTAATCTTTTGTTTACTCCTTATACTAATCTTCCTAGAAACATAAACTATACACAAAATGTTTGTTCCTAGGAGTGACTCTAGCACTAACTATATATGCTATATCTTTTGGAATTTGCTCCTCATTCGTGTTCTTCTTCTCAAATACTCTTCTGTTTCTTTCTAGCCATATATGATAAACAGCTTCGGCATACATCATTCTGAATATCATCGCATAAGCAGTCTTCCCTTTTGCTTCATTTATGGACCATTGAAGAAATTGCTGCCAGTTGCCATTTCCCAATTTCTGTTTACCAAGCCATCTGCACATTCTGTTCCACACTTGAGTTGCATAATCACAGTGCCAGAATAGGTGATCTCTAGTTTCCTTTTCTTTTTTACACATCACACAATCAGATCTACATTGATCTTCCAGCTAACTAACATGTCACAGGTCATTAACCTTTCCTGGATCATCAACCACATGATGAACTTAGCTTTTGGCCTTGCTGCATTTTGGAACACCAATGTTTTCCATTCCATTCTTCTGTAATTTCCCAGTAGGTGTAGGTATATTTGTCTGATCATGCTCTTCTTCTGATTCTGTGAGAACTGCACCTCTTCAAATATACTGTATGACTCAATCACTTTCCTTACCATCCAGCATGCTTGTTGAGGAACTTTCAATGTCTTCAATAGTTGATTCTTGACATAATAAGCATGTATCCATCTGATCCATAGCTTGTCCTGTTTGTGAGCTAAATCCCAGCTTGTTTTTGCAATAGCTGCCTTGTTCCACAGCTTCAAATTGATTATGTTGAGTCCACCACCTGCCCTTGGTAAGCATACTTTATCCCATGCCATTAGAGCCTTTTTGGTAATCTCATTTGTCCCAGACCAAACATATGATCTACATATCCCCTCTACTACTTTAATCACCTTAGCTGGAAGGATAAATATCTGTGCCCAGAATGCTTGAACCCCAAATAGAACACTCTGAACTAGCTGCACTCTGCCTGCATATAAGAGGGTTTTAGCTGTCCGAGAAGTAATTCTTTTAGTCATTTTCTCAATCAGTGGTTGCCATTGCATTAAACTCAGCTTCTTTGTCGATAAAGGAACTCCTAAATATTTGAATGGGAGTTCTCCACTTGTAAGACCTAAGCACTATAATATTTGTTGTCTGTTTGTCTCTTGAACACCTCCAAAATATGCTTCACTCTTGCTTAGATTAGCTTGCAATCCAGATGCTTTAGTGAATTGTTTGAACTTCTGTTGCATTACTTGTACAGATTTCAAATCACCTCTAGCAAACAGTAAAAGGTCATCTGCAAAGCTTAAGTGAGTGATCCCAAGTTTTGCACATTTAGGATGGAATTTGAATTCTTTCTCCTCTTTCAAACTAGCTAGATTCCTGCTTAGATATTCCATAGCAATAGCAAACAGAAAAGGTGACATGGGGTCACCTTGCCTTAGCCCTTTTGCAGCATTGAAGGGTCTTGTAGGTTCACCATTAACTACAATAGAGTAGTTAACTGTCTGCACACATTCCATAACCCATCCTATGGATAATTGTGGAAATCCTAGCTCCTCCATTACTTGTTTCATAAAGCTCCACTCCATAGAGTCAGGCTTTTTGAAGGTCAATCTTGATCATAACTCTAGGAGACAGATTCTTCCTTGTATATGCTTTCACTAGTTCATGGTCCAATATTATGTTGTCAGCAATCTTCCTTCCTGGTACGAACCCTGCTTGTGCTTCATTTATTACTGTACCAATCACTTTCTGAATCCTGGCTGCCACTATCTTTGAGATCAGCTTATAAAGGACAGTGCAGCAGGCAATTGGTCTGAATTCTCTTACAGTTTTAGGTTTAGACACCTTGGGCACTAGTGTTATAGCTGTACAGTTTATTGCTCTATACAACTTCCCACACTTAAAAAACTCCATAATAGCTGCTATGATTTCATCTTTAACAATATGCCAAGCTTTCTTGAAGAAGAAAGCATTGTAACCATCTACTCCAGGTGCTTTTTCATCACCAATAGAGCATAGTCCATCATATATCTCTTCATTAGTCACATCTCTACACAGTTCTATTCTTTGTTACTTGCTGAGTTTGGCTCCTTTGTTCATAATCTCCTTGTCTATACCAGGTAGCATATGAGTTGCACTTCCCATCAGAGCCTTGTAAAATTCCACAATCTCCTTTTGGATACTCTCTGCATCAGTTAATTTGCTCCCAGTTATAGCTTGTAATTCAGTGATTTGTTTTCTCTGGCACCTTTCTGTCATCACAGCATGAAAATATCTGGTGTTAGAGTCTTCCACTTGTATCCACTTTGCCCTGGCTTTCTGTCTTAAGGCCCCTTCTTCTATCATACTCCATTTCTCCAGATTCATCATCAGTTCTTTCTACAACATTTCTGCATTGCTGTCAAAATTTATATCTTGCTGCACTTTCTCAAGTTCAATTCTGCTCACTTCTATCTTCCTTTTAATAAATTTGAATTCCTCCACATTAAGTTTTTTCAAAGCTACTCTCAATGCCTTCAGTTTCATCCACACATTCTTCATTTGTTGGTTATGCAATTTGAAGTTCCATATCTGTTGAACTTCCTGTAAGAACCTCTCATGTTCAGCCCACACATTAAAGAATTTAAATGTGTAACGACCCAACCGGTCGTTTTGAACTTTTGCACTTTGAACGCCACTGCTCGGGTATGACTTGCCCCGTGTTATGTATTATGGCTAATGTAGATGGTTGGTTTGGTTTTCAGGAAAATTTGGAATGAATTTGAAAGAAAAGTCTCAGTTGAAAGCTTTGAATTTGAAAGGTTTGACCAAGAGTTGACTTATTTGTATATGAGCTTGTATTGGAGTTTTTATGATTTGGTTAGCTTCTTTAGGTGATTTATGACTTAGGAGCGCGATCGGAATGCATTTTGGAAGTCCGTGGAAGGATTTGGCGTGAATTAGCAAAGTGTTTTGGCGAATTCCGGTTGATAGGTGAGATTTTGATCCGAGGGTCGGAATGGAATTCTGAGGGTTGCTGTATCTTCGTTATGTGATTTGGGATGTGTGTGTAAAATTTCAGGTCATTCGGAGGTGATTTGATTGGGTTTTTGATCAAATGCGTGTTTCGGAAGTTTTAGAAAGACTTAGGCTTGAATCCGATGTAATTTGATGGTTTTGGTGTTGTTTGAGGTGTTTCGATGATTGGAACAAGTTTGAATGATGTTTTAGGATGCGTTGATGCTTTTGGTTGAGGTCCCGGGGTGATTTCGGATGGCTAACGGAAGGTTTTTGGGACTTAGGACGTTGCAGAAAATTGCAGGTCAATGCTGCAGGTTTTTGCTCTATGCGATCGCAGGAGGGGCTTCGCGATCGCATAGAAGGATTTTTAGGGGTTGTTTGGTTGTTCAATGCGATCACGGATGGAAGATTGCGATCGCGTAAGGTAAGTAACCTGTGCATTGCGATCGCAGGTGTGTTAGTGCGATCGCATAGAGGGAATTTTGAGAGTATGGCTTTTGTTCTTCGCGATCGCAGAAGTACTGCCGCGATCGCGTAGTGTTAAATTTTGAGTTGGAATTTTTGTGCATTGCGATCGCAAGCCTGGGGCTTCGATCGCATAGAGGAAAAACGGACCTGGACAGAAGGGTTTTAAAACATTTTGTTCCGCGAGGTTAAGTTATTTTCCTCCATTGTTGAGCATTGTGAGAGCTTTTTGGGAGGAATTGAAGAGGGTTTCGACTGGGATTGATTGGAGGTGAGTCCTATGAACTAAAAACATGATTTAATTGTGGAATTTATCTTGAAATTCATGAAAACTTAGCAAAAAGGGGAAGAACTAGGGCTTGAGTTTTTGATATTTCAAATTGGGATTTGATGGGTCATTTGAGCTCGGATTTGAGAGTTCTTGGTATGTATGGACTTGTGGCGAGATAAGGAACCCGTTGATGTGAAAATTTTTGAGTTTCGAGAAGTGGTCCCAGGGCTCGGGTTTTGCTAATTTCGGGATTTTTTGATATTTTTCGATTGTTTTCGCTTGGGCTTTGTTCCCTTAGCATATTGTGACGTATTCGTTCTGGTTTTCGATAGATTCGACGAATCGAGGGGCAAAGGCGTCGTGAGCTAGAGATATCGCCGGTTCGAGGTGAGTAATGATTGTAAATGATATCCTGAGGGTTTGAAACCCCGTATTTGCACATCGTAGTGCTATATTGAGGTGACTTGCACGCCGGATAGCGAGCGTGGGGTAGAGCACCGTTGGGGATTGTGACTTGGTCCGTCCCGATTAATGAATTTACTGCGTATTTGACTCAAATTACTTGTCATCATCATAATTTGGGCTGATTGCCATATTTGGTCTTCGTGCCAATTATTTGAACCCTTCGGGGATGGTTGTTGATATTTCCTCATTGCTTCGAATCTATACTTGAACTCAGTCATGTATTTTCTACTGTTTTCAAAAGCTCAGCCAAGTTTATTTTGCTTTAACACTTGAAATGATCTTTCCTATACTATTTTTGGGCTGAGCAGCATGTTTTACTATTGCCCGAGGGGCTTATGTGATTTTTGACTGAGTAAGGCCGAGGTTTGCGTGTGAGGATACTTTTGGATCGGGCTGCACGCCGCAGCAGTGTTATACTGATACTGATATGAGGCCGAGGGCCTAGACTTGATGCCACGAGATGGCTTGATATTGCGCTCTGGCCGTAAGGGGCCCCTCCCGGAGTCTGCACACCCCCAGTGAGCGCCGTCGACAATAAATGGATCGGCTTGCACGCCGCAGCGATATGTGGATCGGGCTGCACGCCGCAGCGGTACTGGTACCCGTTTGATGTGTTTACCTTATTTCATTTGTCTGCTATTCATAATAGTATGCATAAATACAATACTAGAATTCATAATAAATATTGGAAATAGGAAGAAGGAAGTGAAAAACTCGTGGAACAATTCTCCGCCTTTCTCCTAATGTGTTCTTGCCTCCTTAGGTCGAATCCCCGGTCTCCTTAGCCTCCTTATGTCTAAATTATGTCAAAAGTATGTCAAAGGTTCTCAAAATATCATTTTTTCATGTATATATACCAAGTAGGGTCTGGCCCAAACAATTATGCCTTCTCCTACGCGAAAAAAGATACTTTTCCAGGCTAGGACGTCCGCGGCCGCGAATTTGGCCGCAGATTTTGGCAAGTTTCTGCCTCACATCCGGGGCCAGTGCATGTCCTCGCACTTGTCGCGCATGTTTCACCATGTTCTGTTTGGAATCTGGAAACACGTAAAACATTAAAGTTGTATCCCTTTGCATTAGCTTTCCAACCATATATTGTGGAGATAAAATGGAGTTTTGAGAAAAATGTTATGTGCATTTTACTAGTCAGTGCATAATATGCCTACTCGATTATTCGTTTCGTTGCTCTATCATCCGTTGATCCCCGAACACGATCCCGGCTTAATTCCTTGGGATTTTGCTCAAACTTCAAAGCTCCAAATCACTTTAATTCATTCCATAACATCTACATAGCTCGAATCACTTCTACCGCATAAAATACACAATTAATGAGAAACACTAGCGATTAAAGCTCAAACTCAATTAAAGTACAGTGAATTGGAATGTAATAATCGATTAAAATACGTAATTATAGCCTATAATCAATACCCCACACTTAAACCATTTCTCGTCCTCGAGTAATAAAACTACACTTTATATAGATACGACCTTTTTAAACAATTCTCCTAACTCATGACACCAAGATTACTTAAAATAGACTAAGCACAAAAGTGTAACATCTTCACCTTAAGATTTGACTCACAAGTACCACGCATTATTCACAACTCACCCACTTACTCTAACATATAGGTCACTGACATTACCTTTCCTTCATGAATCAACTTCCCTCACACAACAAAAGAGAGTAGTTCCCCAAAATAAAATTTAAGAACACTTAGGAACTCAAGACAGAAAGAATTCACTCACTCTCATAAATAACATTCATTTGCCACAAAAGATGCACCATAGGCTTGCCCGTAGTGTACTACTCTACTAATCGAGCTCATT